AATTCTATGCCTTTCGTACTGCACATTCCTGCAATTGATTCCTTCGCTCGATCAGCGTAGATGACGTCAGTAAGTTCCTGCAACTTGTTTTTCGCTCCAACGAAATTGGTCGCATTGTCGCAGTATAACGTTTTACAGCGTCCTCGTCTTGCTATGAAGCGTTTTAATGCTCCAATGAATGCATCTGTGGTCAGATCAGTCACAAGTTCTAAGTGTACGGCCTTGGTTGCAAAACAGCAAAAGACAGCGATATACGCCTTTTGTGGACGCTTGCCTCTTGTTTTGTAATGAACCCATATTGGGCCACAATAATCAACTCCAGTGCTGAGAAATGGTCGAGCTGGTTGCACACGGTGTCCAGGCAAATTTCCCATGATTTGATTGTACACAATTGGCCTTGCTCTTCTGCATCTTAAGCATTGTTGTATTACAGCTCTCATCAAGCTTTTTCCTTTGAGGGGCCAAAAACGCTGCCTCACTTGTGCCAGCAATGCTTGGGCGCCACAATGATAATTGTCCTTATGTATTTCTTCTACCAGCAACTTTACTAGTGGATCGTTGCTGGGTAAAATCATTTGATGAATGGCATCAAATTGTAGTTTTGAAGAGCTTAGCCGTCCGCCAACACGTATTACCCCTTCTTCATCTACGAACGGAGTTAGTGAACTGAGGTTATGAGTTTTTGGCACAAATTCGTCCTTAACTAGCATTTTCCTTAGATCAGAAAAATCGGAGGCCTGGATTTGACGTATTATTATCTTAAGTGCTACGTCGAGCTCCATCGGTGAAAGCTGCATGGTCTCTGGTCTTGATTCTTTTGGTTTCCGTGCGTTTTTTGTGAAACGAAGTACATATCCAACAACCTTTTGGACATGTGTAAATAAATTTCTTGAATGAATCGAATAGACCCATGCATGCTCATTAGTAGGTTGTTGTGCTGATAAAGCAAGCACCACCGTGTTATCTTCAACAATTAATTCCCTTTTGAAGGGAGCTGGCCACAGCGGCTTTGGCTGATATAAAAATAGTGGACCATATAACCACATGTAGCAAGATGAAAATTCCCGCGGTTTAAGCCCTCTTGACAGAATATCTGCCGGATTTTGTTTTGACGGGACGTGACGCCATTGTTCTGGAATTGTTAACCGAAGGATTTTTACAATTCGGTGGGCGACGTAAACGGGTAATTTGCCTGGATGATTGTTTATCCAGGAAAGCACAATTTGTGAATCTGTCCAAAAGTAAGTTGCTTTGTCTTGATAGCCTAAATCAAGTTTAACTCTTGCCATGAGTTCTGCTGCTAGCAACGCTGCACACAATTCTAGTCGTGGAATTGTTTGAGATTTTATGGGTGCTACACGAGATCTGGAGCATAGTAGATTAAGTTTTATCGTTTTATCCTTTTGTACTGTTCTAATGTATACTGCTGCACCATAAGCCTTTTCTGAGGCGTCACAAAAAGCGTGCAGCTCAACATGGCTGTAGCCTTGACTGCTGAATACGTGCCTCACAACTGTTGCATTGTCCAACAAGGCCAGATCTTCTCTATACGATGTCCATTGTTTACGTATTTCTGACGGAAGATCATCATCCCAATCGAGTTTTAGCTGCCATGCTCCTTGCAACAAGATTTTACCGGTGACCAAGATTGGACCAATAAGACCCAAAGGGTCATATATGTGTGCCAAATCGGAGCTCATAGATCGTTTTGTTGTGTGACTATGGTCTCGACTGTTAACCTTGATACGAAATGAATCTGACTTTGGTAACCATAAAAGACCCAGCGTCTTTGTGAATTGGGTTTCCTTGGAATCAAAATTGAGATTTACTTCTTGATCTTCTGTAGCGATTCCATGTAAAAGTTTTGGGTTGTTTGCACACCATTTTTTTAGTTTCATTCCAGCCTTGTCTAGAATTGTTATTAATTGTTGTTGAATTAGTAACGCTTCGTTGATGGTATCAGCTCCTATTAGACCGTCGTCAACATAAAAATCCTTTTTTAAAGATGTGGCGCCATATAAATAATTTCCTTGATATTCATCCGCCAATTTTGTTAGACAGCGTGTTGCTAAATATGGTGCTGCTCTTGTGCCATAAGTAACTGTGTTCAACTGATAATAATTAAGTGGTTCTGTGGGATTTTCTCGCCACATTATGAGTTGCAGATTTCGATCATCTTTGTTAACCCATATTTGACGGTACATTTTTTCCACATCAGTTTTTAAAACATATTTGTGCATTCTAAATCTGAGCAAAATCGAAAACAGTTCGTCTTGAACTTTTGGACCATTAAACATTATGTCATTTAGTGATGGCTCTGATAATTTGTGTACTGATGCGTCAAATACAACTCGCAGTTTTGATGTTGAGCTGTCTGGACGTAGCACACAGTGGTGAGGGATGAAATATTGGGGAGATATTATTTCGCTACCGCTGAATTTTGTCATGTGTCCCAATGCTTCATATTCCCTCATAAATGAAACATATTGATTCTTTAGATCAGGATTTTGAATGAAACGGCGCTCGATTGTCTTGAACCTCTCGTAAGCGATTCCTTTTGTATCTGGTAACACTGATGGATGATTCTTTAGTGGGAGTTTTACAACAAATCTGCCATCACTTCCTCGAAAAGTGTGTTGCAAAAAATGTGACTCACAACGCAATTCGTCTTCTGTGAGTTCCGAAGTTGAATCTGGAATTTCTTCTGATTCCCAGAATTTCAATATAGATTCTTCTAGTTCCTTAGTAGTGCATATGCCACAAGTTGCCGTGCTTGAATTTAAAGTTTCAACATTGCCAGCTACAACCCATCCAAAAATAGAATTCTGAAGTGTTGGAAGACTACCTGCTAGTTTTATTTGACCTTCAATAAGTAACTTGAAAAAGATCTCTGCTCCTAACAGGCAATCTATTCGGCCAGGTTTGTTAAAATCTGGATCAGCGAGAGTTAATTCCTTTGGAATATCCCAGGATTCGATATTCAAATACTGCATTGGCTGATCTGAAACGATTTTTGGTATGATATGTGCATCCATCTCTGCTACAAATTCGTTCAACGTTGATTGTACTCGAATTATTGTTTGATGACGTATTTTTGATTCATTTGCTCCTACGCCTTCCATACTCATAAGCGTTGGCCTAGGCTTGCAGCCCAATTTTTGTGACAGGCGGTTTGTTATGAGATTGATTTGAGAGCCAGAGTCCAATACTGCTCTGCATTCAATTTGTCTTCCATTTGATGCCAGCAATCTTATTCTGGCCGTCCCTAATAAGACATAATTAGATTCCTGTCTGGTATTGTTTGTTAAAAGAGTTATTTTATTTGATGATTGGTTTGAAACTGAAGCTTGACCTGTTTGTTGAGGCGTCGAGTTATTTCCTTGAAGAACAGTACCTTTTGTGTATTGATTCCCCTTTGGATTATGCATCAAAGTGTTATGTTTTTTAGAACACTTAGTGCAGTGCCTTGAATTACACTCATCAGCTCGATGTCCAATCCTGAGGCAGTTCACACACAAATTGAACTCTTTAACCCAATTCCAACGTTGTGATAGATTAGCCGTCTCGAATTTTTTGCAAGCATAGACCATGTGACCGTCTTTATTGCAAATTGGACAGGTTTTACTTAAACCAAATTTTGTAGCTGAAGCACATGTTCGAGTGAATGATGAATCTCCTTTTCCCCTAGCCTCAAGTGATTGAAATCTATGTTCCAAAAATTTTAGCAATTCATCAATGGTTATTAAACGTTTGTTGTCTGTTAGCCCTTGTTCGAAAGCTGTTAGAGTTTCTGCATCCAGCTTGCGCAGCAATAGATGTACCAGGATAATATCCCAATGTTCGACTGGAACTCCTTGAGCCTTGAGACCATGTATGCATTCCTTGCTTACATCGTGTAGAGATTTTAATGCTGGTGCCGACTCCCTTTTAATGGAGGATTGTCCCATTAATTTATTTAGGAGTGTTGTAACCAGAAGTCGTTTATTTTCATAACGACTTGTAAGTAAAGTCCAGGCTATATTGTAATTTTCTCCTACTACTGGAAGATGTCTAATTAGCCCCTTTGGCTCGTTATCCAATGATGTAGTCAGATAATGCATTTTTTTGCTGTCACTGATGTCCGTGTTGTGGACCAATTCCATATACAAGTCCTTGAATTCCACCCACCGCATATAGTTTCCATCAAATTTTGGTAGTGATATTCTTGGTAGAGGCAATTTGCAATCTGTCTGTCTTGAGTTGCGAATTGTCTGATTATTATGCAAATGTTGCTGTAGTTCGATCATGGCAGCTCCTGCCTTTTCCTCGAGTTCATAAAACATTTCCAGTGTGTAGTCCTCAATGATGCTTTCGTCGGTAGCTTCCCATAACGTTGTGTTATTTGCCGTTAAATCGACCATATATCCTTCAAGACTGGCTGCCTTTATAGAATAGTATGTAGATGGTTGTTCAACTTGCCTGTTGACCATGATTCCTTCTATCGTTCTTTCAATTATACGTATGAGTGCCTTCTGATTTCAGAGTAGTTTCCGAATGTTTGAATCATTTATCTGATTGTTTTGCTCAATTGTTGTGCCATTGCTTGCTGAAGATGATTTTTCTAGCTCTATTGCTTCAATTTCTAGAACCTTGTTGTAATCGACAATCATTTTAAGAATACTCT